CGTGCCCACCGTCTTTGCATCGTGTGTAGATAGAGAGCTGAATCGGCCACAGTTGCCCGACAGTCTGATCGATTCTTCACATTCAATGCCTGGATCAAATAGTGTCCGCTCTCAAATTGCTGCACTCCTCCTCATGGGCGGTCTTTCTCTTGCTCCTGGCGGTTGCATAGTTGCGGGATTTGACTCGTCCTTGGCCTCGCCTGGCAAGTATGTCTTCGCCTTCCCGGCCGAAAACTTTGCTGTTTGGGGGGCCCTCTGTGTCCTCACTGGACTCATGTCTTGCTTTTCTCTTTCTGACCAGGGTAACTGGGAGCTTGACCCACTGCAAGGAAGCTAGGTCACGGAGTGGCATATCTGGTTTGACCATCCTCACGTACCTGCATCCATTGTGAGTGCTCGGATACGTACGCGCATACATACGTGGGTCGGTAGCTATGTTTGTGTGTAGATATGTAGGTCTGTCTGTCTGTCTATCTGTCTGTCTGTCTGTCCGTCCGTCCGTCCGTCCGTCCGTCTGTGTCTGTGTGTGTGGGTGTCCACACCTGTGCCTAAGGTTTTGAGTCACAAAGGGCGCTACTGGTTTCGCTACTAAGGGCCCCTGGTTTCGCTACTAAGGGCTCCTGGTATCGCTATTAGCGTGCAGTTTGTTCAAATCAAAAAACAGCGCGAAAAAAGAGGCAGGGGGGCAACGACCGGTCTTCCTACGTTGCCCAACGAAGCTACGGAAGACTGGTGGATGCATTCAGGGACGCCTGAATGTGTACCTGCTCAATTTTTAATCAGGTCTAGTTGCGTATTGCCGTGCAGGTTCAAAAAGAGTGTTCAAGCACCTTCAACTCTGCTGACTCATCGCCTTTCTGTTTGCATCCCTTTCCAGTCATGGTCTGATGCGTGTAAAGTGGGACTTCGTACTGATCCTAGCTCTTGCGAGCAACAATCTAAGTGTGTTTTCGCCGCAGGGTCCCACTGAGGGCTGTGGTGTGATCCCCATCAAGGGGCGCCGCGTGTGCACAGACCCAGATCCTGGGGGACCCACTCTGAATGCTTCGCTTTGCACTCTTGGACTTCTCTTGATACCCCTTGATCCGTGGTGCTGCATGATACCACTGATACTGTGCCGCAGGGCTTACTGAGATCAACTCCAGTTTGGAATCTCACGCATGTCCATGTCATGCTGCTATGTATTCACAGGCTGGAAGTGAGCGCGACATGAGAGTGGGTTTTTCTTGATCCGTTTGGTTTTCTATTTCTTGGTGTTGCATTTCGTTTTCTTGAGGCATTTCTTTAGGTTTCAGGTGCCTTTCAGACAAGGGTTGCGCCGGCCCAAATCGGCTTTACTTGAACGCCAATGATGGCAATGCCTTCGGGCCACCCTAACCCACCCTCCCCCCTACCTCCCTGCCCCTGGGCCTCCGTTGCCATCCCACCCGCTATTTAGGGTAACAGAAGGAAATCGCACTCAACACACTTGTGTGTTGGTGCCTTTCCTTCTGTTTCTCCTGTCCTACTTCTAGCTACCCGGGCGGTATAAGACCAAAGTCCCGCTCGCTAACTACTTTCGTTTGACTAAGTGGGCCTCGTAACTACACCTATCTTTCTTTCTTGCCCTCTTAGTCTGCCTTTGTTTTGTTTGCTTTGTCTGTCTTTCTAAGGCTTTTTAGGTGGCTAGTAAAACATTTTTCCGCAGCGCCAATATTGGCGCTAAGTGTACCAAGAGCGCACCGATTACGGCCTTGTGTTTGTGTACGTTTCCATACATATGCCTAAATAAGGCTTTGCGCCGCAAACAACGCTACTAGGGGCGTTTGGTCTCGCCAGGACGGTGCTACCAGGGGCCTCTGGCTGCTCTCTGGCCGTTCTGCAGGGAGCAAGGACGCTACTAGGGGCCCCTGGCCTCGCTACTAGTTGCAAGCAAGGGAGAGCGCGCCGAGTCTGTGCCTAAGGTTTTGAGTCACAAAGGGCGCTACTGGTTTCGCTACTAAGGGCTCCTGGTATCGCTATTAGCGTGCAGTTTGTTCAAATCAAAAAACAGCGCGAAAAAAGAGGCAGGGGGGCAACGACCGGTCTTCCTACGTTGCCCAACGAAGCTACGGAAGACTGGTGGATGCATTCAGGGACGCCTGAATGTGTACCTGCTCAATTTTTAATCAGGTCTAGTTGCGTATTGCCGTGCAGTTTCAAAAAGAGTGTTCAAACACCTTCAACTCTGCTGACTCATCGCCTTTCTGTTTGCATCCCTTTCCAGTCATGGTCTGATGCGTGTAAAGTGGGACTTCGTACTGATCCTAGCTCTTGCGAGCAACAATCTAAGTGTATGTATGTGTGTCTGTATGTTCGTCTGTATCTTTGTATGGCTGTCTGTCTGTCTGTCTCCCTGTCTGTCTGTCTGTCTGTCTGTATGTATGTATGTATGTCCACACAGACAGCTCCACATGCCGCAGTGCATTGACGCCCATGGATGCGGCTGAAACTCTACCCGACAACGACTCCTGGCTGTGACCCACCCTAGGAGCAAGGACGCTACTAGGGGCTCCTGGCCTTACTACTAGGAGCAAGGACGCTACGCAGGACCTAGCCTTACTCAATCGATCCTTCACATTAAATGCCTGGATCAAATAGTGTCCGCTCTCAAATTGCTCCACTCCTCCTCATGGGCGGTCTTTCTCTAGCTCCTGGTGGTTGCATAGTTGCGGGATTTGACTGGTCCTTTCACTTGCCTGGCGAGTATGCTTTCGCTTGTCCGACCGAAAACTTTTTTGTTTGGGGGGCCCTCTGTGTCCTCGCTGGACTCATGTCTTGCTTTTCTCTGTCTGACCAGGCTAACTGCAAGGAAGCTAGGTCACGGAGTGGAATATCTGGTTTGGTCACCCACACGTACCTGCATCCATTGTGAGTGCTCGGATACGTACGCGCATTCATTCGTGGGTCGGGTGCTATGTCTGTGTGTCTGTATGTATGTGTCTGTCGTCTGTATGTATGTGTGTGTGTGTGTATGTATGTATGTGTCTATGTGTGCCTGTATGTGTATGTTTGTATGTATGTATGTATGTACGTATGTCTGCATGTATGTTTGTATGTATGTATGCATGTATGTGTGTGTGCCCCTTGTAGTCACAGGGATCCTGTCGGATTGTGTTTCTCTTTTTTTTCAGCAGGGGGCCAGGACTCCCTGGCGCGCGTCCTGGCCAACGAAGACACCGCGCCAGGGAGGTGAAAACGTACCTGCTATTGTTAAACTGTTGATTGGTTGCTGTGGTCCCTTGGTTTGTTTCATGGTGGTTCATGTACCTGATGTTGTTCCAGGAGGTGTTTAGGTTTTCAGGTACTTCATACAGGGCGAATGCACGTTTCGCCGTCATCCTGTCGCTGGTTCGTTTTCGTTCTGAGCTTTTGGAGATCTTTAACTTACCTGTAAAGGGCTAATGCACGTCTCGCCGTCATCCTGTCGCTCGTCCGTTTTTCGTTTTGAGCTCTGGAGATCTTTAACTTACCTGAACCTGGAGATGAGTCACAGTCCTGCACGCACGTCGTCAACCTGTCGCGTGATCGTCGATGCTATTGGTTTGGTCTACCTGTACCCTTAAGAAATGGGAATTTAGGCCGGCGTGTGGCACCGCTGTCAAGTCAGTACGCATTTCCATAAGTGTGTTTGGCCTCGTGCCAACCCGGGATGAGCCTGTAGAGTGCCTCCCGTGGACCCGTCGAACGGGGGTTTGTCGTTATCTCCCCTGCCCGGAGATGTAAGTGTCCGTAGCGGACAGCAGATGGCTTATGCCACAAGAAGTGGGATGTTTGTCTCATTTTTGGAATTCCAAGCTGGCTCATGCCTTTACGTGACCGCAGCGGTCAAAGGTGGCAGCCTTCGGGCAAGCTGTACGTGGTCACAGCGAACGAAGTTTGTTCAATCCCTACTCCCTCCTGTTGGGACCTTAGCTTGGGTTGCTACTAGGGCTCCTGGCCTTCCTACTAGGTGCTAGGACGCTACTTTGACGCTACTAGAGGTTCCTCACACTTGCGATACGCCTCCCCTCAGGGAGGCGTGTGTGTGTGTGTCCCTTGTAGTCACAGGGATCCTTTCGGATTGTGTTTCTCTTTTTTTTCAGCAGGGGGCCAGGACTCCCTGGCGCGCGTCCTGGCCAACGAAGACCGCGCGCCAGGGAGGTGAAAACGTACCGGCTATTGTTAAACTGTTGATTGGTTGCTGTGGTCCCTTGGTTTGTTTCATGGTGCTTCATGTACCTGATGTTGTTCCAGGAGGTGTTTAGGTTTTCAGGTACTTCATAAAGGGCTAATGCACGTTTCGCCGTCATCCTGTCGCTGGTTCGTTTTCGTTCTGAGCTTTTGGAGATCTTTAACTTACCTGTAAAGGGCTAACGCACGTCTCGCCGTCATCCTGTCGC